ATCTCTTGCATCTCCAACCGAAGTATCTAAAATGACAACTGTAAATTTCAACTTTCTATCCAGCATATTTGACAATTCTCCAAAATGTATCATTCATTATTACAAAATAAATGTGTGTCATAATCAAAGACTAAAATATCGATAATATTGACGAATCGTTTTTTGGATCTAGAATATTTTGGAAAATATCTATACACATATCATATAATTATCAATAATATCGAGAAATATCAATGTCGATAATTTCTCACACGCTTTAACAATATTTGGCCAAAATATCGTTATAATATTGAGATGATGAAGACAATAAAAAATGAGTGGTGATTTCCCCACTCCTTTTTCTCCTATTTTATCCACTTACACTCCTTTTTTATAACTAAAAAAGGAGTGTAAGTGGATAAAATAGGAGTGGGGAAATCATTGCCCTAAAAAATATCGCTTTAAGATTGTGCTTATTTTTACTTTCAATACCGGGAGTCCAAATCGTCAAACTAAAACAAAGTATGTCTTTAGCATAGTTAAAGCATAATTCATTACATTAGAGGAAGGAGGGAGTCGAACACATATCCTACCATTCTATCATTAGTTTTTTTTTATAATGAACTGTCTCACATACTTATATCAACCAATATATGGCTTCCAACTCATTCAAAAGTGTTTGAACAAATTTGTTATTTTTTACTTAAAAACATTTGCAAGATTTAATAAGAAAGTTCGACGGAAGATATGGCTTGAAGATTTTCCCATGGACCAAGTTGGCTTTGAATTTTCAATGTTGAAAGCAAAACATGGATTCAAAGTCAAATTCCTTCGATGATAGTAAAAAAATTAAACTATTTGTTGTCTGTCTTTGTGTTTTTTTTTGGTCTGAATGCTTGTTGTCTGTCTAGATGCACATAGGTTTGGAAATTGCATGAGAAAAAAGAGGCACCATGGGATTCAGCACACTGAAATGGAACTGAAACAGAGCAAATATAAATAATAAAATATTTAGAAAACAAAATCACAATAAAATTTACAATACAAATAAATAAGGATTTACTTTTATTTTATTTTTTTGACGGTGACCATTGTGACAAGTTAACACCAATAAATAAGGATTGACAGGACAATGGACAAGTGGGGGTGGGGGTGGGGGTGGTATAATCCTCTATGCTAGATTTGCAAAGAGAAAACAAAATCTCACAGATATATTGGATCCTCAGAATCCAGCTTTAGTCTTTTGCCTATTTAAAGCAAAAAACCCACCCACCTCTCTCTATTTCCCCCTTCGTACGCCTCTCCTCTATAAACACTCTTCAACGCCTTCCTCACATAACCAACGCTTCTTCTTCAAAAATACTCTGCTTCTCTCTGTTTTTTTATTGTTTCCACGCGGACCCATTTCAGCTGACGCGCTAAATACTCCTCTTCAAGCTCTGCAAGGCTCAATGGCGATGGCCAGTGAGGTGTTCAGGCCTAATTTGCCCGAAAGTTTTGAGCTTTCTGCTGATTCTCAGATGGGTTCTGGGGAGCTGCATGTTCTTGCCGTGGATGATAGCCACGTCGACCGGAAGGTCATTGAGAGGTTGCTAAAGATATCATCTTGCAAAGGTATGTGGATGGCTCGGGTTGGTTTTTTGATCATTTTTCTTTTTCTCGTTTTGGGAAATGACGTTTTTGATTGCTTGGTGACTGAAGCATGTTGCAAATTTGTTCTGTTCTGCAGTGACGGCTGTTGACAGCGGGACAAGAGCTCTGCAGTATCTAGGATTGGATGGGGAGAAGAGTTCTGTGGGATTTGATGTAAGAAAACTTGCGTCTTGGAAATCTGTTTGGTTCATTTGTTGTTTGCTATAAGCCTATATGCAAATGCAAGTTCTTTTTAATAAAAAAAGAGAACATTTTCTCAGCCACCAAACGGAAAATGAAACGTCTTTTTCGTTTTATGGTGGTTTTCTGACGTTTGAGTATTTTTGTGTGGTTACAGGCTATGAAGGTGAATCTAATAATAACGGACTACTCAATGCCTGGGATGACCGGATATGAGTTGCTGAAGAAGATCAAGGTTAGCCCTTTAATTTTTATTTGAAATAATCAATTAAGGCGCAGAACAACAGATATTCCATAATTAAATTCAAAGTTTATCATGGCAATTACTCAGAGATTTATTGTGTAATTTTAATTTGAACAGGAATCTTCAGCTTTTAGAGAAGTTCCGGTGGTGATCATGTCATCAGAAAACATCCTGACCCGAATTGATAGGTATTTTCTTGGACCAAGGATTTCTCTCTACTTTATACTTTGCTGGCACTTGATTTGTTTTGCTAATTGTAAGCCTTGGATATTATAATGTTGAAAATTCCATATAATTATTTTCTTTTTGAACATTCATGAATTTTGATCCATATTTCATTTTTTGTCCCATTGGAATTAGGATTTTTGTGGTCTAGATCAAACATAGCAACATCTGATTAGTTTGCCAGATCTTTTGTTTAACTTTCGATTATTCTTATGATCTGCAGAATTGATCTCTCTCTTAAATGTACCAAACTTTTTTAATAGGAGATGATTGGTGTTTTGCCTCAAATTGTTGAATGATTTGTAGACATCACAAGAGATTGCCATCAAATATTGTGATGTCATTTTGCTCATGAATCTTTTGGGGATCACTCAAATCTTATAAAATAAGTCCTCACATGGCTTGTTCAATTATATTGAATAACAATAATAATAGTTATTATTATTTCTGACTATGAATATCAAATTCTAGGTGAATGTTTTTCTTTAATTGTTTTATATTTTCCAGGAATTAATCACATCTGTTTTTCATCATGGGTGCTGGATTTTTTTAAATGCTCATGTATGGGCCAACTTCAAATGCCCCTTCATGAGCCTAATGGGCAAAATTTGCCATGTTCAGATTTCATGGGCATAATTTTATATTCTAAAAGATAGTACTCTAACGTTTACCATATAAAGCATATTGAATTCAACAATTATTGTTTACCTTATAACGTAGTTTTCCTTAATTTGTACCATATTTATTGCCTGTTATATATTAAATTATTCTCTATATGAAGCTCTTTGACTGATCATTCTTTTACCACTGGTTTTTACAGATGTTTGGAGGAAGGAGCTGAGGAGTACATATTGAAGCCAGTGAAGCTTTCAGATGTGAACCGCTTGAAACATTTCATGATGGGAGGAGGAGAAAGAAGAGAAAGTGAAGAGAAGAAGATTCACAAGAGAACATTTCAAGTTGACTACAATGCATCATCACCTCCCTCTCCTTTACCGCAACTGTCTCCTTCGTTTGCTTGCAGTCTAGCATCATCTCAGCTACCGTCTTCATCGCCATCATCGCCCTCGACACGGTTTTCGTCAAAGAGACCTAGATTGCACAAGACAGATTGATATTGTCTGCCATTATTAGGATTTTGTAACTTCACGTTCATACACAGTGTCCCCATTTGGCAGTATAGAGAATTTCCTGTTTTGCCACGTATGTTTTCTTCCACAACCTTGTGTAAATTTGCCAACATATAACTTCCACCCTGACCAGAAAAGAGAAAGGGGAAAAGGGTAGACAGAGACGTATAAGCAAGTCTTGGGGTTAAAAGGTTCTTTCCTTCCTACTTTTTGTGGATGTTGGAGATGGAAAATCTCAACACAATCAATGGAAATCCCAAATATTTTGAGGGGAATATTTTGCTGTCTACTGATCTTTGTTTTCAACCATTCAATATCTCGTTGTCTGTCATTTTTTACCCTTTTGAGTTGGAATCATTTCACGTGCTTTGCTTCTAAATTCTACTATGGTGCCAAAAGTCTTGTCATGGGCCATCATGGATCCACCAACTTTTGAAGATTTTAGCTGAACTTGTTAGTATACGATCTCAAAGCTCACCAGTCTGTCTTTGTGATTTTTGCTTTAAAGACCAGCAACGAGATGTAGACCCTTAAAATCATTAGCCTCACTAGTTTTATAGGGGCCCATTAAGATTCATCACATCTTGGTTTCTCCTCCTATGCTCCTCCTTTCGTTTCATGGACCACACAGGATCACAACCCCACATCTGATCAAATGCTTCGGACCACAGTAAATCATAAGTGTTGGTTTTGTTTCGTGTAATTATTTTTAGTATAAACGATAGTTTAAACTACAAGAGATTGAGCTAGACTACATTCGCGGTTTTGTTAACAATTCTTATATACTTGTTTTTTGGTGCAGGCACTGGTTCTGTTTCCTTTTCTTCTTCCATTTGTGTTCAGCTGAACAGCTCTTTTATCTGCTGAAGCCATTTGGCAGCTTGCAGGCAAGTTCTCAAATGGTGGGTCATGTATGAGATTTTGGAATGTTTGTTAATTATCAGACTCTTTAACTTTGTTAATAACGATTAGCGCATTGTAGTATCGTTTCTTATTATAAATTAACAATCAAACAATGCTAATGATAGAATATACTTTGGATGGCATACCAAGTTTTTCACTCATTTCTTATTTCATAAAACAAGGAAGATCACTTATTTATGATGTCAACAAACTCTAATTCAACAGCTGCAATTGTAACTTTCGAATTTAAAATCATTAATTAATGTTGATGCATGGAAATGATATACAATACTGGAAATGGACGGCAAACATAAATCTCACACCCACCATCTGCCATTGCTCTATGCATGATCTCAAAATGACAGAAAAGCCTACAAGGCTACAATACAGTATCTTCTTCACTGCAACTTGTAGTTACATTTTCCCAACAGGGTCTTTGTAGGAATTTTTATAAAACGAAACCAACCAAGTAAACAACTACCTTCATTGAAACTGTCAACAACCAAACACCAAAACACAGGAATTGAAGTTACTCAGCATCCAAAGAACACAACACCACATTAACAAATAAACCCTGTGTTTGGTTCTTTTGGAAGCCTTTTCTTCCAAGAGCTTGTCATCTTACTGCTTTTCTGAGAAGTTCATTTCCAGATAATTCTCTCGTCTCTCAGGTGCCAAATCCAGCAATGCCACAATCTAATGGAACGGTACTTGCTGAGACTATTGCAGCAACAGCTGCAGCCACTCTTGTTATTGCTGGAATCTTGTTCTTCCTATACCGATTTCTTGCTGCTCACCGCCTCCTAAAAGGCAAGACCAATGGAAGTTTTCGAAGAGAAGAAGTTGTGATGAATCGAGAAGAATTTAGGCAATGTGGTGCGAATGTGAAAGGGTTGATTGTTGAGGAGAATGGGGTTGATGTTATATACTTTAGAAAATTAGAAGCCGGACAGCTTCAAACAAATCTTCCAAGAGTAATGTTTAATCCCAGTTATGAAGATGAAGAAGAAAAAAGGGTGGATACTAAAGGAGAGAGGCCTGAATTGTCTAAGCCATCTGATTTGACCAATCCTGATAAATTGGCAAAACCATATTCTCTACAACCTCCCAGACCTCTACTTAGAACAACTTCAACATTAATATTGGAGAAGCAAGCTCCACAATCACTGCCTCCTCCACCACCCCAACCAGCAATAGATAAATCTCCACCATCACCACCCCCACCACCACCTCCTCCCCCTTCACTATGGATGCCACCACCGCCTATTCTGGCAAAAAGGAATCCTTTACCACCTGCTCCACCTCCTAAGGTAGGTGGTTTGGGTTTATCACTAAAACCCCCACCTGCACCTAAAGGCAAAGCAAGCAATAAGTGCAGGGCAGAGGCTTCCACAGGGGAGAGCTCAAAAACAACTGGCGTTGGGCAAACAAAGCTGAAGCCTTTGCACTGGGACAAGGTCATGGCTGCTGTTGATCATTCAATGGTCTGGGATCAAATCAATGATGGATCATTCAGGTAAACAAGTCTCAATACTACTACACCATTTGGTTTTTCATTTTTGTAGTTTTTCCTCATTTGATGCCATGGTTTTTCATCATTCAGGTAAATAAGTCTAACTATTCTTTATGTGCTTAAATTCTCAGATTTGATGATGAGCTTATGGAAAATTTGTTTGGATATACCACCATTAAAAACCAATCCTCTGAAAGAAATAACCACTTGACAGCTTCAAACAAGTCTAACTCTGCCCCAACATCTCAAGTTTTCATCCTAGAGCCCCGAAAGTCCCAGAACACCGCAATCGTGCTAAGATCTCTTGCAATCTCTCACAAAGAAATCGTAAATGCCCTCCTTGATGGGCAAGGACTTGGTGCTGATACACTAGAAAAACTTACAAAAATTTCCCCAACCGAAGAAGAAGAAGCTAAGATCCTCCAATTTAATGGCAACCCAAGTAAACTTGCAGTTGCTGAAGCTTTCCTCTTCCACATTCTGAAAGCTGTTCCTTCAGCATTCACTCGTTTCGATGCAATGCTTTTCAGAGCAAACTATGACCCTGAAGTCCTTCACCTCAAGAAGTCCTTGCAAACACTTGAAATGGGGTGCAAGGAGCTAAGAGCTCGCGGGCTCTTCCTAAAACTTCTTGAAGCGATTCTCAAAGCTGGCAATAGAATGAATGCTGGAACTGTCAGAGGCAATGCACAAGGGTTCAACCTCAGTGCTCTTCTGAAGCTATCTGATGTCAAAAGCACTGATGGAAAGACTACACTACTCCACTTTGTGGTTGAACAAGTAGCACAGTCAGAGGGTAGAAGCTGTGTGATCAATCAGAACTGCAGCATTGGTCGAAACACTAGCCAAATTATTTCACCGAATTCGGATAACATAACCGCTGAAGAGAGAAGAAAAGAGTTCCTAATAAAAGGGTTGTCATTGTTAGAAGGGTTGAGTATTGAATTATCTAATGTAAAGAAAGCAGCTACCATAGAATATGAGAGCTTCATCCGTATGAGCTCTACTCTAAGTAACCGCATAGCTGAAATTAAGAAACTTTTGACACAGAGTGGCAATGCTGAGAGAGGTGGATTTGCAAGAGAAATGAAAGGGTTCTTAGAAGAATGTGAGGAGGAGCTTAAGGTGGTGAGAGAAGAGCAAACAAGGGTCATGGAGCTTGTGAAGAGAACAACAGAATATTACCAAGCAGGAGCTTTGAAAGACAAAGGAGCACCACCACTTCAACTGTTTGTTATTGTGAAGGATTTTCTAGACATGGTTGCTCTTGTTGGTACAGAAATTTCAAGAAAGCTACAGACGAAGAAGAGTTCTACAATGACTGTAGGATCTTCCTCACCTCCTCTATCACCTTCAACCATAACATCAAACAAGTTACAAAACTTCCACTCACATTTCATTTCAGATATGTCATCAATATCTTCCAGTGAATCAGAAGATGGTTTCTGAAGTTGATGTAATACAAAACATTTTTCTAAAGACTATTTATATTCTTTGAGTTCTTTTCCTTTTCCTACATTTTCTCAGCAACCCAGTTGAAAAAAAATGCCACAGATTCCAACTCCCCATTTATCTGGATAACTTGCAAGCTGGGTTTTTTTCCAAGTCACCCACCAACAATAAAAAAGTGATTTTTTTCTTTTTGGAAGAACTTGACCTAATTATGGGACAACATACAATTTGTTTTATAATTAAGGACAAACTGAACCGTGGTTGGGTTAAAAGCAAAACGCTACCGTCGCACTGAGCTTACAACGTATAGCCGGGCGGCTATAGTCTTTTAATACTCGTATTGAAATAGTATAGCCGCACGGCTCTACTATTTAACGGAAAGTACATGGCAAATCGAAATCCCCCGTTTAACACTAAACAAGGGCGGCGCCAGAATGTAGACGCAAGAATCTGGGCTTAGATCTGCCTTGGGATTCGTGAATCTACCTCAAGGATGATATCAATAAGAAGATAATCAAACAAGCACGAAAGCACTAAAAGAGAAAGAGAAAAATAGAGAGAGAGTATGCACTCTCGCGTCATGTAATGTCGTATGTATGATAGAGGTGGTGTGGTGATTGATCTCAATGCTAATGGTTATCCCTCAAGGTTCAACGAATGAATGGGGCTATGATTGTACCCGGATAGTATATTCAAATATATTTAAATAGTACAGCCGCGCGGCTATACCGTTTAATATTCAAATATATTTAAATATTACAGCCGCGCGGCTATATTATTTAATATTCGAATATATTTAACAAGTACAGCCGCGCGGCTATACTATTTAATATTGGAATATATTCAAATCGTATAGCCGCGCGGCTATACTATTTAATATTCAAATATATTTTAAACGTATAACCGCCCGGATATTCTCTTTAAATATTAATATATTTAAACAGTAATAATACACATCCATTAATGTATTTATATCATATGCTAGGTAGGGATGTGAATGTGATGATATAAATAACACAAGACATGATTTTATAACAAGAAACGTAGAATACCAGTTTTATCAGGGTTGTTCATTTCGGGGTATAGAGGTTTTGTGTTTGATTCTCATAGCTCCCTCCAAGTACGCATTTATTTTTAGTTTTTGAACAGCAAAATTAACGCGTGGGTTTCATGCAGATCGCAGTTGTTTTTACCAAATGCATATTGACACTTGGATCTCATGCAGAAGGAGCATGAAAGTAGCTGACCCAACATCTGAAATCTTCCTTTGAAGCAAGCCAAAAAGCAGAACCAGAACAAGAATTCAGAAAAATGGCTTGTGAAAGTCTTGGAGGGATAGTGAGGAGCTTATCAAAAAAAGTTGCTGTCTGTCCTTGAAGGTTCAGAACTTCCCAGATAAGCTGTTTCATGCTGAGAAGTCCCGTGCCTCATCATCCCATGCTTTTTTCAGCTTTCCAGGATCTTGGTCTGTGGATGGTTGTTATTCTGGAGATAAAGCTTTTGGAGAAAAAGAGATCAATCTCCAACTCTTTCCTTCTTTGAAAAGTATAGGCAATTATGATGAAGCTGAAGAGCCTCGAGCCCGAGAGTTTGCAATTGCATTTGTAAACCAAGCCTTTTTCTGCACAAATTCGAACATATATTGCAGAGTTCCCAGGTTGAAAATCAGTTGTGTTTTTTCTTTCTGTGTTACAAACCACAATTGGCAATTTTAACCCCAAACATTCATACGGCTATTACTTTTCACTGAAAATTATGATTGTAAGCCACAATTTCACCCATAAAAAAAGGAGGCATATATAAAATCCCATATCGAAGGAGTCGTTTCACTATAAATAAAATCGAGGCGCTTTTGTGATGAAATCTCACACATGCTGAGCTTTATAGGTGACTAAAGTTTGGGAGGGAGGAAGTATATAAAATAGCACATAAAAATAAATGAATGTAAAAAATGAATATTATTATTATTATTTTACAGGGCATTTACTTGTAATTCAAGTGCTGTGATTGATTCTTTTGTGATTTTCTCAGGGCACTCTAGGTGGTGCAATTGCTGCGCTTGCCACAATCCGGTTCTTGGAAAAGTTCCCCAATGCGGATAGTGGAACGTTTTACTGTGCGACTTTTTGGATCTCCCCTTGTTGGTAACCATATTATTTCTCATGCTCTTAGGAGAGAGAACTGGTCCAAAGACTTCATACATTCTGTCATGAGATATGACATTGTCCCTCGGATTTTGCTTGCTCCTCTCTCCTCCATTCAACAACAGTTTGAGAAAATTCTCCCCTTCTTCAATCTGAAATGGCCAAACTTTAAAAGTGAGATTCTTGGAACAGCCCCAGAGGCCTTGCATCTCTATACAAATGTGATGAGGAATGCATCAGCTCTTACAAGCCATGTTGCCTCTCAGCTAATGGGGAGCACAAATCTATTCCTGGAAACTGTAAAACACTTCATTAAGCTAAGCCCTTACAAGCCTTTTGGAACATAAGTTTTTTGCACTGGGAGTGGGAAATTGGTTGTCTTGGAAACCCTGAAGCTGTGTTGCAAACCTTGTTCTACTCTTGTCAGTTAAGTAGTGAAACGGGCGGCCATTGCCGACAAATGCTTGGACATGCAAAATGTGGTTGAGGTTGATAAACTAGAAGAGCTCTGCTTAGGCTCATATGGTTACTTGGATGACCTTGGCTTGGTACTCGAATATCTCTTTGTTCTGATTGTTTTTCTATTTTGTGTTCCAAAATTGTTAAGATATCTTGCTTGTTAATTTGCAGGGTGTAAGAGCTAGATTATGCCTTTGTGCTGCAGGAGAATCAGAGAAGCAAAAACGAGTAAACCAGGAAAAGATTGGTCGAAAATGGAAGAAATGAAGAAAGAAATGACAAAGCTAGAAGACCACTGAGCCTTGTGTGAGCACAATAGGGGATATTATGACGCCTTCAAGATTTCGAATGACACGAGAGACTCGGATCCTAATGTGAGTAGGTTTTTGCTAGCAGGTATATGCTAAGATATGAATATGGTTTGAATGTATTAGGTTGAGTTTTATTCTTATCCATAAGGAGGTATATATAGGAGTTTACATGAGGGTCTTACAAGGAATTAGATACAGTAAAGAATTAAGAAAGTATCTCATAATTGTACAATGATTTATTTCTTATATAAAAAATAGGAAAGTAAATCCCTTAATTAATCAAAGAAGTAAATCACCTTGATTAATTAGGAGACTCATGTCAACACTCCTCCTCAAGTTGGTGCATATATGTCACCAATACCCAACTTGGTAAGTGAGTCATGAAATACTCTTCCACAAATAGCTTTGGTTAAGATATCTGCTAGTTGATCTTCTGATTTTATGAATGGCAGGCGGATGATCTTTTTCCCAATTTTTTCTTTGATAAAATGTTTATCCACCTCAACATGTTTGGTTCGATCATGTTGAACTGGATTATGGGCAATATCAATAGCTGACTTGTTGTCACAATGCAACTCCATTAGCTTTTCTGGCTTGAAGCCTAATTTTGTCAAGAGTCTTCTGCTCCACAATAATTCACAAACTCCATGAGCCATTCCTCGATACTCTACTTCTGCACTGGACCGAGAAACTGCATTTTGCTTTTTACTCCACTAAGTGACTAGGTTACTTCCCACGAATGTAAAATAACCTAAAGTAGAGCGTCTATCTATAATAGAACCAGCCCAATCAGCATCTATGTATCCAACAACTTTAAGATCTTCATTTTTTTATATAACATTAATCCTTTCCCAGGGGCTGACTTTAAGTATCTTAAGATCTGATCAACTGCATTCCTATGAGAAACACTGGCCGAATGCATAAATTGACTAACCACACTCACAGCGTATGCAATATCTGGTCATGGAGGACGTATGAAAAGTAGAACCTTTGGTGGTGGTGATAGAAGCAAGAGTCTGGGTAGCCAGGTCAGCAGGATTGACTGCATGCTTCTGTGAGTCTACAATAAGATGGAGAATCGTATGGGTTCCTGACATCGTAGCGGAAGTAAGATGTGATATGAGAAGATGAGGAAGGTGATGTGAGAAATTTGATGTATGAATTTAATGTAGGAATTGGATTTAAGAGGTATGTGTATAAAATTTGAGGGTATGTGTTTAGGGATTTGGATAAGAGGATTTGAGGGATTTGGATTCGGGGAAAAAATATGAGGAATTTGATTTAGGGTTTTGGATTTGAATATGAGAAATTTGAGATAAGGGTTTAGAGACAAAACAACTTCTCTTCACTCCTCCTCTCCTCCTGAAGAGAATAGGTTGTCAGAGTAAAGAGATATGCACTATCTTCATGGGTATATGTCAAGATAATGGGAATACATCAATAAACATATCATTTTCACTCCCCTTCCCCCCTTGAAGAGGAGGAAAGGAAAGCACTTAAATTTCAAGAAGAATGCAAGCAGAGGCGGATCTAGTAAGGCGCAAGGAGGTGCAGCTGCACCTCCCCTATCCTGAAAAACCATTGTAAGTGCTTCAAATTGCCCATTTACTAAACTGTTGTACAGATTACCTTATTTTCATCTTCAACATTTAAGTAAATGTCTTTGTCCTTTTACTTTTATTTATTTTTATATTACTCCATTTACTTAAGTTTACAATGTAAATAAGGAAGTACCCCCTATTTGGATTCAAATAAAAATACTAGAAAATCAAATTCCCACCAAATCAAAATATGAAAATTCGGTTTTAGTGCAAAATATGATTTAGGCTAAAAATGATGGCTTATTAAGTCAATATATACTTCATACTAAAATCTCATAAAATCAAGTTTTCTTATTTGATGTGTAAGGAATAAAAGCCGCCAAAAATTATCTTGAGAAAATGATTATTCCGAAAAACCATTTTTCATACTTAGTCAATATTGCACCTCTGCTAAAAAATTTCTGGGTCCGCCAGTGAATGCAAGCACAGGTCACAAGAGAACCTAGCTCTGATACCATGCTAAAATATGACTATGGTTTGAA